TTCTCCTGCCGCAGCCTCCTGAGTAGCTGGGATTACAGGCACGTGCCACATGCCCGGCTAATTTTTGCATTTTTAGTAGAGACAGAGTTTTACCATGTTGGTCAGGCTAGTCTCAAACTCCTGACCTTGTGATTCGCCCTTGTGATTACAGGCGTGAGCCACAGCGCCCAGCTGAAATTTTTAAATTTTTGTAGAGATGTGGTCTTGCTATGTTGCCCAGACTGTCTCTAACCCCTGGCCTCAAATGATTTTTCTGCCTAGGCCTCCCAAAGCACTGGGATTACAGGCATGAGATACCACACCTGGCTTTATTTTTCTTATTTTTAATTGACCTAACAGATAACAGTTTGTTCGAAAGATTAGTAGCAATAAAATATTATTAGTAGCAATAAAACTGATGGCTATGTGAAATGTGTGACAAGAATGTCATAAGGGATGGGAGCGAGGTGTGTTTTTTTGAAAAAGTATAATTGATATGCTAAGAGATGAGACAAAATGAAATGATATAAATTTCTCAGTTAAAATCTGAGAAGGCAAAGAACATGGGAAATGAATAAAAAACAATTTAAATAAGGTGGAGATTAAATCTAAACATATGAGTGATAAATTTGAATGTGAATGGTCTAAATACATCAATTTAAAAGACAGACCTTCAGAGTGGATAAGAAAACAAGACTCAACTATATGTAGTCTACAAAAAACTCACTGTAAACATCAAGGACAGATTGAAAATAAAGGAGAAAAATATGCCACGTTAACACTAACAGTAATGATAAGGCTGAAGTAGCTATATTAATTTCAGACAAAGCACATCTTAGAGCAAGGAAAAAGGGGCCAGTTCTTTAGGAAATTTTTACAATCCTGAGTTTTTGATACTTAACAACAGAGGTCTAAATATGCGGAGGCAGAAACTGACAGAACTGCAAGGGAAAAGACGTAAGTCCACCATTATAGCTGGAGACGTCAATACCCATTTATCAGTAATCGACAGATCCAGCAGGGAAAAACCCAGTAAGCTTACAGCAGAATAGCACAATCAATGGTGCTAATTGATATTTATAGGATATTTTATCCAAAGACAGCAGAATACACATTTCTCTCAAGCTCACATGGAACATTCTTAAAGATGGGTCATATCCTAGTTCAAAAACACACCTTAATAAAGGAATAGAAATTGTACAAAGTATGTGCTCAGAAAACAGCGGAAATAAATTAGAAGTCAATAACAGAAAGATAGCTAGAAAATTCTAGAATATTTGGAGATTAAACAACATACTTCTAAATGGCATATAGGCCCAAAAAGTTTTATGAGAAATTTAAAAAATATGTTGAACTAAATGAAAACAAATAACCAAGAAACACTTCCTAACTCATTCTATGAGAACATTACCCTAATACTAAAACTAGAGAAATACATTATGAGATAGGAAACTACAAATTAATATCTCTAATGAACAAAAATCCAAAAATCCTCAACAAAATATTAGCAAACCAAGCTCAACAATGTGTAGGAATAGTGATGTGCAATAAAGAGTGGGGTTTATTCCAGCTATGCACGACTAGTTCAGCATTCGAAAATCAATTAATGTGTCACCCATCATATTAACAGGTTAAAGGAAAAAACTTTTCATCATATGAGTAAACGCAGAAAAAGCATTTGACAAAATTCAACAGACATTCTGGATAAAAACCCTCAGCAAATTCAACTGTATATGGAACATCTGCAAACAACCTAAACCTAATATTATACTTAATGGTTGAGAGGCTAGACACTTTCCTCTGAAATCCTGAACGAGACGGGGATGTCTGCTCTTGCTATTCTTAGTAATCGTTGTCTGGGAAGTCCGAGCTAATGAAATAAGGGAAGGAAATAAAATAAAAGGTATACGGACTGGTAAGGAGAAATGAAAAGGTTTTTGTTCACAGATTGCACGATTGCCTATGTAGAAAATCTTGAAGGAGTTGAACCTTTGGGGCAGGGTTACCTGGCTTTCGATGTTGAGACTAAACAGCAGAAAAACAGACTTAGAGAAGGAAGAAAGTCAATTAAGAGACAGAAGTTTATGCTGAGAGGGACTTGCCCAAGGCTAAAATGATTCTTTTAGGCTGGACAGAGAGACGTCAGTGAGTCCCTTATGAGCAGGGACCTACTTTACGTTTCTGGTACTCTCTGAGTAAGTATCAGGGCTTCAGAAGGAAGGTCTGCAGGGAGGACTTGGAACGCTGGGTTCCAGGCCCAGCCTCTTGCTCTTGATCAAAGATTCACACCCACAAGAATGATAATGTGGCCACAGAGTGGTGGATCTGAAGTGGTCATGTGGACTACAGACAGACGCCGGTGGTGGGGTGGATGCAATATCTTTATTCTGCATTTGATCACGAGGTAGGAAGGACCCAAAATAGCTGAGATAAATTTCCAGTGGAGCTGGGGTTTAGAGTCACATTTTATTTACAAAAAATAAAGTGTTGTGCTTTTTCTTGTAGAATATATTATTTCTAAAAACAAAACAAAAAGCTATTTCCAGGGTTGTGAATGCAATTCTGCCCATAGATACGGACGAGTTGTGCTAGTACCTTATTTTAGCTTCTCATTTTAGGTTTCTATGGTTATTTTACCCCTCTCTTCGCTGTTCCTATTGCCTTATTTATTTTTACATTTTAAATAAAGTAGCAGCACTCAAATTTTTTAGCCTTTGCTGCCACCCTGTGGCTCTCGTTTATTACTGCAGATGAAAAGGGCCTCGGAGCCTCTGCTACGCCAACCAAACAGGAGCAAGTAAGTGTAGGGGAAGCACATTAAACACGTATCTGAAATAATAATGCTCGGCATCTGGGGCGTGAATCTAGAACATCCTGTATGTGTCCGACGGATCAGTATAGGCCTCTCAGAATCCTATTCGTCTGTGTCTAACCTCATCACAGTACTTCCCCATTCCTCACTTCAAATCAAGATGCGTGACTACCCTGGGAACACGGTAATTGTTGATCCCGACTTGCCACGTAGGGTCAATTATTGATTTTAATAAGCTCCAGAAAAAAAAATCTTCGTAGGAAGCTGAACCTGAAATCTACAGTAGACTCGATTCTTAAAATAGAGCTCTTTGTGGACTTTCAGGGTGGTCTAAAACTTGTCACATTGGTGCAAAGCATTTTGACTCTCCCTAAGCAGTAGGAAATACAGTTTTAAGAAGTAGAATCGAGAAAGCGGGGGGTGGGGAGTTGGGGAGAGAGAGCATGGGGAGAAATACCAAATACAGGTGATGGGGAGGAAGGCAGCAAATCACACTGCCATGTGTGTACCTATGCAACAATCCTGCATGTTCTTCACATGTACCCCCAAACCTAAAATGCAATAAAAAAAAAGAAGTGGAATATACCTATAGCCCACTTTTCAGGAAAGCTTTCCATGAGAAATAAGAATTACTGTAATAATCTCCTTGCCACCTGTCCCTCTCACACTAGCTCTGCCCCTTGTTATCATCCTAAACAAAACCTGGTCATGCCACTGTGCTGTCTTTAAAAGATTTCATCAGCTTTCCATTGATGGCAGTGGCTAGCACCATCATGCTCCCTGCAGCTGGGGCTGCATACTCCATGGAGCCAGTGGGAGCCCGGCCTCTTCTGAGGTGCTGCTACAGCTCTGCAAACCTCAGCCCCCCCAGACCTCAGCTGCAGACCCAGGCCTCCTGCTCTGTGGAGCAGGCAGGAGCCCCGCCCTCCTGAGTGAGGCTACAGCTGCCCAAACTGCGACCCAGGATCCGAGCCTCCCTGTGCTCTCGGAGGGTGTGGGGAGCAGGCAGGATCTGCCCTTCTGGGTGCAGCTGCAGCCGTCCACCCAGCAGCTGCAGACCAGGGCCTCCCGCTCCACGGAGCAGGCAGGATCCAGGGACACATGGAAACCTCGCTGGTGAGGCAGGAGCTCCCCTGCTGCAGGACCTGGGCATCTCTGCAGTGTGCACCCTCACGGGCACAGGAAGGCCCTTCCCACACTCCCCTCCCTGTAGGCTCAGCGATGTCTGCTTCCACTGCCTTGCCCCTCTCCATTCCTAGCACTGGCTTGGATCTTGGAATGGGGTTGGGGCTGACCCTGGGGGCCATGTATGGCAGCAGGAGGCAGTCCTGGGAGGAAGGGGGCAGGTCCCCAGTAAGGGTCCACCTTCAGGCCAGGAAGGGCCTGAAGGCTGGGGGCCAGGCTGCCAGCCCCACTGACTGGAGTGGGGACTTGTGGTGCCTCTTCCTGCTCACCTATGGCTGCCCATGGACCAATCAGCACACACTTCCTTTCCTCCAAGGTCCATAAAAGCCCTGGGCTCAGCCAGAGCAAGAGAGGATGGAGAGAATGGAGAGAATGGAGAAAGGACTCAACGGGAAGACCAGCTGCAGGGAGGAACTACCTTCTCTGCTGAGAGCTTCAGAGACCTCCAGAGATAGACGACCAGCTGCAGAGAGGGGCAGCTCACTCCAGGAGGCCAGCTGCAGAGAGGGGCGGCTCACTCCAGGGTTTCCTCTCTGCTGACAGCAGATATCAGGATGACCTGTCTGCAGAGAGGGCACAATGGGAAGACCAGCTGCAGAGAGGAACTACCCTTTCTACAGAGAGCTTCAGAGACCTGCAGAGAGGAGCAACCCTCTCCATGGCTTCCCCTCTGCTGATGGCAGATGTCAGGACAGCCTGTCTACAGAGAGCCAGCCACTGTGGGTCTCCTCTGAACTGTTCTTTTTTTTTTTTTTTTTTGAGACAGAGTTTCATTCTTGTTGCCCAGGCTAGAGTGCAATGGCCTGATCTTGGCTCACCGCAACCTCCACCTCCCAGCTTCAAGCGATTCTCCTGCCTCAGCCTCCCAAGTAGCTGGGATTACAGGCAGGTGCCACCAAGCCTGGCTAATTTTGTATTTTTAATAGAGACGGGGTTTCTACATGTTGGTCAGGCTGGTTTTGAACTCCCAACCTCAGGTGATCCACCTGCCTCAGCCTCCCAAAGTGCTGGTGTTAACAGAAGTCTACGTGTTATTCTGTAAGTAATAGTATTAGGGGGTCGTTGAGGGTGTGGATTTTCCCATATGCAAACAAGCGAAAGGTGAAAAAGACAGAGATGAGCTTTGCTAAGTGTTAGAGCTGTTCAGGCCGGGCACAGTGGCTACCTGTAATCCCAGCACTTTGGGAGGCTGCAGTGAGTGGGGGAGAATATTATATTGGTGTGTGTGTGTGCGCGTATATACACACACACATATAGATATACATGTATATATATAATATCATATTGGCAGGAGTTGTACTGCCTCATGTCCCCTGTGCCTTAGATCCCAAGGCAGCAGCAATATATAATATTATATTGGTATAGGCCGGGCGCGGTGGCTCAAGCCTGTAATCCCAGCATTTTGGGAGGCCGAGGCAGGTGGATCACGAGGTCAAGAGATCGAGACCATCCTGGTCAACATGGTGAAACCCCGTCTCTACTAAAAATACAAAAAAAAAAATTAGCTGGGCATGGTGGTGCGTGCCTGTAATCCCGGCTACTCAGGAGGCTGAGGCAGGAGAATTGCCTGAACCCAGGGGGCGGAGGTTGCAGTGAGCCGAGATCGTGCCATTGCACTCCAGCCTGGGTAACATGAGTGAAACTCCGTCTCAAAAAAAAAAAAATATTATATTGGTATATATAGATTATATATATGTGCATACATAATATTCTGTTAATCCTAAATAATTCATAAGGCATATTAATGGATAATATAGGCTTTACCTTAATAAAGCTGCAAGCATTCTCGTCGTTGCTGTGTGACATTAAGTGACTGAGCCCATCAGTAAAGACATTATCCTGTTTGATAAGGTCCTTTTCTTCTCCCTCCTGCTCATTTAAACTTGGAATGAAGTCAGTGATGTCCTTTGCACCTGGCAGATTATATGCCCGTACAGGATGATAAATAAAGGAGGAATTTTTTTTTTT